TCTCTCTGTCTCTCTCTCTGTCTCTGTCTCTGTCTTTGTCTGTCTCTGTCTCTCTGTGTCTCTCTGTCTCTCTCTCTGTCTCTGTCTCTGTCTTTGTCTGTCTCTGTCTCTCTGTGTCTCTCTGTCTCTCTCTCTGTCTCTGTCTCTGTCTTTGTCTCTCTCTGTCTCTCTGTGTCTCTCTGTCTCTGTCTCTCTGTCTCTGTCTCTCTCTCTCTCTCTGTCTCTGTCTCTCTCTGTCTCTCTGTGTCTCTCTGTCTCTGTCTCTCTGTCTCTGAAATTCCCAGTTTGTAAAATAAAAGTGTCCCTATTTGGAGTAGAGCCATTAATCAGTTCTTTACTTGGTTCCTGGAGTTGCTTGTTGTTTTTTTGTCAAAGAGCTTCGTGTTCTTCGTTTGTCTGGACGCCCACAGTTGTAAAGCAGAGTAATAATCAGTGAGCACAATGAGGACATAGGTTTGCACCGTCTCTCCCTGTCTTTACATCAAAGAGGCTGGTGTTATGCAGGGACTGGGGGTATTGCTGGCTTTTTATGGTGGTGTTTTTGTGGACATAGCTGTCTGGCAGCAGACAGAGCAGTGTGATCCAGAGGATACGAGGGTGAGAGAATGTGACGAGCGTGGACCGAGTCATGGAACAAATCCTGGTAGCTGTAAACAGCTCTGTCTCTCAATATGCTTCCTGCTSTGCTGGAGAAACGCAATTACTGCCTCTCTGCTAATTACTCCCTCGCTCCCAGCGTGTCGTGCTGCAGATCCTCCGCCTTCACGCATCTTCTCTTCTGTCTTACTTAATGATAGGTCACAACTTCTGTGATCAAACCTATGCTGTGTAGGAAGATGCTCTGCTAGACATGAAGATAAAGGAATAAATGACGTCCATCAATAGCAAAGAAACTACCAAACGTGTATGTTAGATAATTGTTGGTGGGAGTTTTCACCTTTAACTATCCTAGTTGTGTCAATAAAGCCATTTTTTGGGGGGTTTCCATTGTTTCAGATCAGAAGATGAACCACAGAGGTTTTGTTGTTCACAGCCTGAACGTAACATTTAATCCGTGCAGAGACATGTATTGGCAAGTAAATCTCCTCTATCTGTGGAATCACAAAGCAGTAGGTTTTAATATGTATGTTTGCATAAAGTGGAGGTCCCATTTTTAACTTCACTAAGTYAATCTTTGCAAATTCTATACTTTTAAAGTGACTTTGACATGCATATCCATGAAATACAAAAACTCAAAGAAAATATATTTATATTTAAGAAACTTGGTATGATTGGTTACATGATTACATGATTTATATGATTGGTTGGTTGGTTGGTTTAAACAGGAAAAGATTAAAATAAATCAAGCCTGACTCAGCATAATTGCTGTTTTACAGCAGGTTCCTGTTCTGCAGAACATAAAACACTCAGAAATCCAACATCACAATTTGACCTGTTATGTCACATAATTGGCATATTTTCTTTTGAATTTTGCTCAGCTAAAGTGAAACAGGAAGTGACATCAAAGGGGAACTCTTTGAGAAAGAAAACTCCCTGGTTTTTGTTTATTGAAACATCATTTGAATTATGACTGTTTTTCATCTCTCTATGATAGTGATTAAAATAATCTAAAGAAACATCAGATTCTCCTCTACAGTCTGGGTTGTTAGCCATTTTAGCAATGCTCTGTTTACATTTAGACATTCCCCTTTGACATCACTTCCTGTTACTTCACATGCATATATCTCAACAACTGTTCATCGCAGCAGCATGAAATCTTTTTTTACAATATTTTATGAATGTTATCTTTCCAAAAATACATTCTTTTTTTTTAAATAAAAAATGGATGTCACAGGCACTTTAAGAAATGGTTATTTCCTGTTCTGACTTTGGATTGTTTAATTCTTTGTGTTATAAAGTTGCTGATCATTATGGGACAGTGATTAGCAGAATTTGAGACTTTTTAAGGCGTTAGCTGACAATGTGAATCTTTAGGCATCTCACAGTTTGATCTATGATTCACAGGGCTGTGATGCAAGAGTGAAACAATTTTAAGTGCTTTTTTATTATTTCAATGCTTCTCCTGAATTACACTAAGCGTTTCAAAGCAAAGCATTTGTATAATTCCCKCTCAGTTTATTTCCAGTTTATTTCTTTCTCAACCATCTTGTGAATTTGTCTGTGTGCACACCATAGTGGGTTCCAGCTCTGCACTAAAACACTTCTGAGTTTCACCTTACGCTTTCTTCAACATTGCGTTTTAAATAACCATGTTGTTTTGGACGTTTGTAAATCGGTTTATCTTCCATGTCTGCGATACATCTAAAATAGATTTTATACTCCAACACTGCTGCTTGAATTTCATTTTTAATTTTCTCTTTTGTAAAAAGGCTGAAAATTGAGTGCTGGTGGAGGTTTCAAGCAGCCATTCGGCCTCATCTGAAGTCTGTGTGGCGAAGGCTCAAGCTTTCCAGGCAAATCTGTAGAAAAGTAACCTGACACCCTCCTCTCCCTCATTCTTAATTTTTGAGAGGAGGCCTCTTGGATTAAAAGCAGAAACACCCCTCTTCATTGGTCACATGGGCCCCTGGGGCCTCGGGGCTGTTGCTATGGAAAAAGAGTAGGTCTTCAAATGGGGAGGGGGCTCGCCATAATGACATTGCTCGATGAGGATCTGGAYAGATGCAGAGACTGAAATGTTAGATTACGTTAACTGGGTTTTTATAGAGTYGAAATCTTTTATGATTCACTGAAAGAGGCTTCAGTGATGTCTTTATGTTCAAGTAGTCACCTTAATGTGGGTGTTTAGGTTTTATAAACACATTAGATCTGAACATACACTTGTTGCACAATAACAGTAACTACTAATCCCAAAATGAATTAAATAGAGAAGATAACTGGATCTGTGGAGCAGCAGGAAAATAAAATCTGTTTTGTTGTTTTCAGGTAAATTTGAGGAGAAGGAGGACCGGGTCCCCAAACTGGAGCAGCTGAACTCCCTTGGTTTTATGTGCAGCCTGAATCTTGTCCTCAACAAGAAGGATCTGATCAAAATGGAGCTTCTGTTGTTGGAGACTTTCAGCTGGAATCTGTGCATGCCCACGCCCGCCCACTTTATCGACTACTACCTCCACGCCGCGGTGCAGGACGGGGACCTATACAACGGCTGGCCCCTGTCCTCCATCTCCAAGACCAAGTCCTTCATGGACAAATACACACACTACTTCCTGGAGGTTTCCTTGCAGGGTGAGTTTAGAAAGAAGGTGTCTCTTTGTTGGTTAGAATAGCTTGTGTTTGATAAAAGTTTAAAGGGGACCTATTATGCAAAATTCACTTTTTAAAGGTTTTTTTACTCAACTTTGGGTATGTACTTCTAAAAAAAA